AAAATTGAAAAGAATTTAACTATCCTTACGTTAAAGGTGATTGCACGAATTTCTTCTGTATTCTGAAACATTAACTATCGTTTGGAAATTGTCGTTTGTAATTAATTGTAGACTAATTATTTTACTAAATTTCTTATTCTTGGTCAGCTTTACTCTGAATCGAAAAATTTCAAAATTTCTACAATGTTCACACATTAGTATCAATATTACTGCATTATTTTGATTATATAATGATATAATTATTTATTTTTAAACGTATTTTTCATACTAGTAGTCTAATAAAATTACCATGGCACAGACACTTATCGACCATCTGACAATGAGTTGATCCTGGAATGTCGAGTTCGTGGCCATCCAGTACCAATCATCTCCTGGTTGAAAGACGGTTGCATTCTTCAAGGCGATCGTTACAAGCAATGTTACCTAGACGATGGCATCTATCGGTTGGAAATTGCTGCGCCCAATTCTTTAGACAATGGTCGATACATCTGCAGAGCTACGAACGATCTACGAACTGAAGAGATATCGCATATCGTTCAGTTCAATGGTAATATTTCTAATTTCACTCAACAAGATTTCTTTTCTAAACGTCACGTGCGAATTAACTTGTTCCAAGAACGAGAACGACGAATTACGGGGAAGCATGAGAAATCGTTTGACGACTACTTCAACATCGAAGCTTATAAGAGACCGCGATTCTCCAACTATTTATGCGACTACAGCGTTCCCACTGGCGGTACCATTGCCTTGCAAGTCGAAGTTAAAGGTCCGATTAATGAATATTAGCTCAAGTTTGATTTCACTTCGCTTGAACATTTCTAATCTCACTTACGATTTATTAATTTCATAAGTTTAATAATTCAAAAAGTAATAATAAATGAAATGAAATATAATATTTCTAACATTAATGCTTCTCTATTTCTGATCAATGTTATATCTGAATAGTTCGTCCTATCTAATAAAAGAGATACTTAATAAAGTTGAAAATTAACAAATTTGAAAAATAATTGAAGAGATGAATTACACGAGTAGATTTCAATATATCAATAACTGGATAATTTCCCATAGAGATTGTTATAATTAATGATAAATGCAGGTGTTCCAGCGCCGGAAGTAAGATGGTTCCGTGGCGAAAGACGAGAACCAGTCTCGATCCCAAAGGCGAAGACGTTCAGAGAATCTGACGTTCACACCTTGGTTCTACCAGAAGTCACTGAATCAGAAAGGGGCACGTACATTTGTAGAGCTATTAACGCTTATGGTCACGTAGACAGTATTGCTACTGTCGACGTGATATCACCTAGTGCGATCGATGGTGAAAAACCAGCCATGTTCGTTTCAAGACCCTCGGAAAAGTCGATCACAGTCACCGCTGGCGAAGATGTCAGTGTTTCGTTTAGATTCTGTGGAGTTCCTAAACCTCGTGGTAAGAATCATTGAAATAGCTGCTTGTAATGATCAAACTGTAATATTTTCATGAAAGTTATAAGAAGTTAATATGCTTTAATTTTACGTTAAAGTAACAAGAATTAATGTGTTCCACTTTTGATTAAAGTTACAAGAATGAAAATCTTCTATTTGTATTAAGATTACAAAAATTACCACGTTTCAATTTTTTTTATAAAAGTTATTAGAATTAACGTCTGTTAATTTTTATTCCGCAGTTACGTGGATGAAAGGATTGAGAGACATCACGGACGGTCCTCGATCTTACAAGGAAACCATCGACGATTACGTGAGGCTAACATTGAAGAGAGTGGTACCTTCGGATGAAGGCACATACTGCATTCTGCTTAAAAACAGATACGGTTGTGATAGAAGTTTCTTCTCGATCAAGGTAAATATTACACAATTACAAAATAATATACATGATGAAAGTTTACTTTCATTAATCATTTTATTAACTGTTGTTCAGGTGAAACAACGAGCTAGGTCTCTGACACCTGAATGGAGCACTTTGAGCAACCGTACTGAGACCGGAAGTTATATCGGCCTGTCCAGCGAGAGTCGCGACGATGATCTGCCCTATATGAAAAGTAAGAAGACAAGATTTTTTAATTTAAAAATAGATAAAAAAAAAGAAAAATTCTTATTAATAAGTAATATAATTTATTATTAATTTGTATGTACATTAGTTGAATCAGGAAATTTTTTATCGCAATCGTGGCTTCCGTGTGCGAGTCATGTCCTTTTGAAAGATACATTCCAATACAATATCTTGCCAAGAATTTCAGTTCAAATATCCCAGCAGGCATCTTTATAAAAATTAAAAATTATAATTATAATTCTGCTATTTCGTTCATTCTGGCATCAATAACTATGATTATCGTAAGAATCATCATTGTAATTCTCTTGTTGATGAAGTGTAAGTGAAAAATATGGATCATGTCCAAAAATTCTCAATTTTATAACTAATTTCACAGTTTTATAGCAAATTGTTTTCAAAATATCTTTCCTATCTATTTTTAAAATCACAGATAATAGAAATACTAATCTCATCCGGGATGTTCCTCAAATGTTATGCATTACTAATTACGTCATAATACGCACAATTAAATGATTATAATTAGAAGTTCGGCGACAGTGACTGTAGTTTCACTCGTACACTTGGCCCAGGTTTCAATGGACATGGTCCAAACGAATTAGACTAGTTCCCCTTGAAATGACGTCAATATTTAGGGTGATCATTTGTCGACTCCGACGAACAAAAGGTAGAAAATCAATCCTACTTTAAGAAAACACCAAATTCTATTTCGGTCTCGAAGAATCTTACATTTTACATGACAATGTAAATTTGCAACAAAAATAATAACTATGATCTATACTGATTGTTTCATAACTCTAAGTTGAGTAAACATGCGAATTAATATTCTGGTTTCGTTAAAACTTGAACAATATTCAAAACACAAAACAAGAGATTACAGAATGAGAAAATGTTCTTATGATAACAAAAATACGTAAATAGTCCCGATCAATTCACAGACAATAAAAGAAAATCCCGTTAGATCATCGTGATCCTTCGAATGAAATTATAAACATTTCCGATTCACGGTTGATCTCGATGCTGGAACAGAGCCAAGTGTGACAGTTTCTTGACCAAATCTTTCAAATATAATAACACGGTACGCTATGTATAAACGAAACAAATGTAATGTATCCGATTCACAATTAAACGAAAAGAAACCCGGATGACATGATTAAATGCTTACAAACTGAGTACAGAGAAGCGAACTACCAACGTTGGAAGGGAATCATGATTCTGAAATTAGAATCAAAGATTCGCAAGTTTATTGCAAATTAATTTCAAATATCTTGATCGTCGAAAATTGTACATACATTATATTACGTATATATTATTTAAATATTTCTTGGAATATTTTATGGAAAATATGTTGGTTAAACCATTTGATAGAATCTTTAATGCTAATGTTCAACTTCCTCCCCCCCCTCCCCCAATCGCCAGAAAATGTGCAAAAATAAACATAGCAAAGTGTGGGAACAGCTGATTCCTTCAAAGTAGGCCGCTCAATAAATAAACATTCTGGATCATATTACGGAATTTGTAATTTTAGAGACAACGCCTTCACACATCTCTTCTTTAAAAATTTTAATGTTACTGAAGTTGTTAAAGTTTGTCCCGGGAAAAGAAAGAATTTGACAAAGAATTAAGAATTGATTAGTTCACACCTAGAAATCGCGAATCGCATTTTTTGTGGAGATAAAAAAAATGAATGAAAAAGAACAAAGTAGGAGGAAAAGCATCATAAAGAAAGAGTTTTCCCATCCACTAAAAGAACATAAAACTATTTTACTATTCTAATAAAAGTTTGTCAAGTAAACTTTAAAAATTACAAATAAGATAATAGAAAAATAATAATATTATTTTTATAACAACAACAATATCATTATTATTTAGTAGATTAATAATTTTACTACCTAAAATAATACCCAGCAATTAACAGAGATTATTTTACGTTTTTTTTAAAATACAACGAAATATTAAACTATTAACTATAACGTATTAAAGAAAATACTGGCTGTTATTAGACAAACAGCAATTGTTCTAAGTTATCGTCAATGCCGTGCTCATTGGCTACAATTGCCAACAAATCAATGCAACGATATCTTTGTCAAGGTGTAACAAAACGACAAAGTCATTGACGAGAAATGACGAAAGAGAATAAGTGGTTGAAACTTTGACGATCGATCGGTCCACTAGCTGAAATAGATGACACAGTTCCAACAAGGTGTAACGATCGTAATGTCGAATAAACGCATGATACCACCTACACCTGCAGTAAAACTCCGGTGGGAGCACTTCTCTCGTGTCGGGTTATTTTCGTTTGCCTTGCTTACTCCCTCCAACATGCTCGTGTATCCACAAATTCAAAATTCAGTCGGCGTCGGGACGCGAGTTATTTCGCGTGCCCTACATTTTTCCCCCGAGCCTTGAAGCCACTTGAAAGAAAGAAAATAAGTACCTTGACATTTTTTTTTTTT